TGCAGTTTTAGATATCTGTACATGTATGGTTGTGGAAATCAATGCTACAAGTAGGAATATTTACGTTCTTTAGTTAGAGAATGGTACCAAAAAAACTGTACCTTGCGGAACACCAAACTCCACTACCTCCTCTTTACTAAAGTTGTCTCCTATTTTTACTTTTTGTACTCTGTCGCTCAAGTATGATTGAAAAAGTTTGAGCACAATACCTCTAACACCGATACGCTCCAGCTTGGACATCAGAATTCGATGGTCCACTATAGCTTTGTTTTGGTTTCACTCGGAACTACTTCGGAATCATTCTGCACATGCGCATTTTATAAAATGCGTTTTCGTTTTTTCAGAATCGTAATCGAACTGTGTGGACAGCGTTTTGGTTTATTTAGAACTATGTGAGAACAATTCTGGGATTGTTCTAGAACGGTTCTCTCAGTTCTTGCTCTTAAGGAGGAACTGTTTTGGAATTTTGTGATTGGTGGCTTGTTTTGGTTTCTTTGATTCCGAATCGGTTCAGAATTGGTATTAGAACAGTGCTCCATTATTTTTTGTGCGCAAGCAGTTCTGCGCAATCCCAGAACCGTTCCAATTTTTTAACCAAAACAAAGCTAGTATCGAAGGCCTTTGACAAGTCTAGAAAGATTGCCGAAGGCTTGGAGCCCTCATTTAAAGAAGAAACGACATGATTGCTAACCTTGTCAATTGCATCATTGGTTCCATATCCCTTCCTGAATCCAGATTGATTTTTGGATATAATATTATATTTTTCAAGGTAGCTCCACAATCTCTCCTTAATGCACCTTTCAACAAGCCTAGCCAAGACACTAGTTGAAGCTATAGGTCGGTAATTTCTAAAATTTAACCTGTCTCCAGCCTTAAAAACAGGTACTACAACAGCACTTCTAAAAATTGAGGGAAATGTTCCTGTTTGGAAAATGGTATTTATTAAGTGCATTAGTGGCTTAGTTAGTTTTTCTTTGTGATTTTTGATCATTTCCGCAGATACCTCATCTTCCCCACATACAGTATCATACAGTATTGCTTTTAAGGCCGGTTATTTCTCTTAAGATTTCCTTCTCTGTTATGGGTGCGTGCAAGATACATAGAATTCTCGCAGATATCTTCAATCTCCCTGTTTTCTTCTGGTTTATTTATCTTTTTCGCAAGATTTTTCCCTACTGAGCTAAAGTATTTATTGAGTATATTGGCCATTGATCTAGGATCACTTACCACCACATCTCTCTTATCTTTGATCGCTTTAATTTGTGTTACACTATCTTTACCATTCGTTATGCTGTGAATAACATTCCACATTTTTTTAGGGTCATTAGTATGCCTATCCAAAAGGGTTTTATAGTAATGTGTTTTGGTTTTGCCTATGCGCTTGGTAAGTTTGTTTCGATATTCCCTATATAGGCCAGTTCGCTTCCAGGATTACATGTGGATATTTTTGTCTGTCTCTTTCCCTTACTGAATTTAGGAGACCCTGCGACATCCAGGGCCTGACAAATTGTTTCTTACATTTAACTTTTATTTTGTTGGTGCTTTTTTTAATATAAAATTTTATTTTGTTTACGATACTTTCTGCAATTTTGTCAGGATCAGTGTGCCGCAGAGTATGCTCCCAATCTTCAGAAGACAGCAGTTGTGTAAATTCATCACTATCAAACTTACTGAAAAACTTATTTGTGGTATTAGGACTTGGCAGAATTTTGGAAAATTCAAGATTCAACAATATTGGCAAATAATCACTAAAACCATTATTTAAGATGACTGAATAAATTTTTCTAACGTTGTTTTTACATGTTTTATTCTCCCTTATAAAGAAATGATCAATACAAGTTTTTGAATTTTTTTCTATTCTTGTAGGTTTATTTATTTTGCTGACAAAACCATGTGTAGCAAAAGTATTGATATATTCAACAACTTGTCTTGATTTTGTATCTAGAATATTAATATTGGTATCTCCTGTGAAAATCTCAACCGTCGATTTCTTGAAGAATTTTTTTTGCAATAAGTCATTAAGATCATTTATACACGAAAGGTTTGCTACAAACTTCTATAGATGGTTGATCTCGTAAAAATAAAGTTTTTTTTTTAAAGAAACATATGTCCGGAAATGCTTCGCTTTCCAGATACAGGCTGTTAGACTTTTTTAAAAAAAGTCAATTTTTTTGTTAATTCTTAGGAATGCGCGTTGGACGAATTTGATGAAATTTTCACAGCTTGTTGACACCTTTATGGGGTATCTTTTGGACTACTCAGAGTTGATCCAGTAATTTCAGGGGCGTGCCACAGGTTATGTCGGATGGTTTTATGCACGAAAAACATCGTCCAGTAGATTTATTTTTAATTGAGATATGTTTTTTGAATAAAACACTTAAAGAGTCAACTTTTTCATCTCCTAATTTTTTTTCGTATGCTGCTTTGTTTTCGAGATAAAATTTAAAAACCATTTTTGGCGAACCACGAACGTCACTGACCTCCTTAAATAAAAAATAAATTGCTTCAGAATTATCTAAAATTTTACTAGCTTATTTTTTGCCTAAAAATAGACAAGAAAAAACCAAAAACCTTTTTTAAAAACGTGCACATTTCTAAGAATTTATAAAAAAAATTGACTCTATTTCACACAGTCTAACACTCTGTATCTCGAAAGCGAAGCATTTCCGGACACATGTTTATTAAAAAAAAACTTTATTTTTACGAGATCTATCATCCCTAGAAGTTTGTAACAAACCTTTCGTGACACCCTGTATATTGATCTGGAGATAGTGAAGGAGATCTGTAGTGAGCAGTTAAACCAAAATTTACTCCATTCTTGATAAAGGTGACTCTAAAGAAACCTAGAATCATTAACAGTTAGTGTTTGAGATTCTACTAGAAGATTAGACTTCACAAAAATCACAGTACCATCGCATTTGTTTATTTTACTTTCGTTGTAGAAAGCACAATAGCTTTTCAATTTAAATTGGTTTATATTTTTTATTTCGTTGGTTTCTGACATAGCTATAAGATCAAAGTCAACCCGCAATGCTTCGAGGTAGGTAAAGAAGTTCTCAACTTACTTTTAAAGCATACGGCATCCATTATATTATCATAGACAAGAGTATCATTTTCTACATAGGAACTTAAGTAGGTACTGTGTGGGATCCATGAAGGAAAGAGATCAAAATTAAATTAGACATTTTTACATTACTTACAGAGAAGCTGGTGAAAAAACTAATCCTGCTGTTCAAATTTATCAATATCCTCACTACAGAATTTTTTTTATAATATTACAAGTTTCCGTTTTTCTTACGTAAATGTTGCCTCCCTTGGACCATACAAACTTGAATCCTTGGCCTCTCAGACTGCGGGCTCTTTTGAAGAGTTAGTTCTCTTTGTTCTTTGGACATATCTTCATTGACGTATATAGAATGCGACCCGTAGATTACAATTTGTGCTGGATTCGGGGAATAGTATTATATTCGAGTAGGGCACTGGGTTATTCTAGATCAGTGGTTCCGAAAGTGGGCGATAACGCCCCCCAGTGGGCGCTACAACCATCTCGGGGGGCGGTAAAGAGCTCAGCTGATTTTGGGGGGCGGTAAACATAAATTAGTGGGCGGTGGAAAATAACCGAACAGATCAAAAAAAAAAATTAAAATTGAATAGTGAATGGCTTTTTACGGAAATTACTCTTCAATACTATAAAGATAAGGCTGATAGTCTATGTCTATGCCTTTCGGAGTCAATTTTGGCAAGCTTCCAGTTATGAACGCAACCGGAGAGTTCCGACGCAACCCGAGAGTTCCGACGCAAATCCCGAAGCCCGCACGCACCTCAACTAAGTCTGCTATGACTTGCTTAAAATGCGATACCGCTAATATGCGCATTGATCAGCAGCAGCTGCCATAAAGTTATTGTATTTTACTTATAAATAACTTCAAAAAGCTCAAAAATAAGCTCCGTCAAGTTAGCCACCCCACATTCCAATTTTCTAACAAAATTGCAACCACTTTGAACTGCGCTGTTCTGATACCAAAGTTATAGGAAAAACAAGATGAGGGGCTAACTTGACGCTCAGCCCCCCCGAAATTTTGGAAATCCAATCAAACAAAAATGAATTCTTATGCAATCTGAATAAGTGTACTGAACTGTGCTGTATTAGGTTTTCCTCAAAATTTCCATATTCAGTCATTTTCCGACAAAATGCTACTGGGGGTGCTAACTTGACGCTCAGCTCTCAAAAATTTTGAAAATCAGATGAAACAAAAATGGATTCTTATGCAATTTGCAGTGTGCTGGACTGTGTTGTATCAGGTTTTTCTCGAAATTCCCATATTCGGTAATTTTCAGGCCAAATCCTATTGGGAGACTCACTTAACGCGCACCCCCCAAAATTTAGGAAATAACATGAAACAAAAATGGACTCTTAGCTAACATGACACTCAGCCCCTCCCCCCAAAAAAAAAAATTGTGAAGCAGATCAAACATAAATGGATTCTTATGCAATCTGAAGTGTGCTAGATTGTGCTGTATCAGGTTTTTCTCAAAATTTCTATGTTCGGTAATTTTTTGACAAAATCCTACTGGGGGGACTAACTTGACGCTCAGCCTCCCAAAATTTTGGAAATAAGATTGAAACAAAAATGGATTCTTATGCAATCTGAAGTGTGCTGAATTGTGCTGTATCCGATTTTTCTCAAAATTTTCTGACAAAATCCTACTGGGGAGGTAACTTGGACGCTCAGTCCCTCGCCAGGAAAATGCACCACCATGAAAGTTTTCAAAAAAAATGGCGCTGCTTCAATATCTTGGATCCCTGCCAAGGGGGGCGTTGGATAATTCCCATTTTCTAAAAGTGGGCGGTAGGTTAAAAAAGTTTGGGAACCACTGTTCTAGATAAATCCCATGTACAATGTTGGCTATAAATAGCGGGCGAAACTCAGTCAGTTGAAAATCAGAGATTTGTTGAGTTAGTTGAGTCAAATTTTAGTTTTGTTTTATCAATATCTTACCCTTCGAAAAAACTTCTAGCGTTTTCCTTAGATCCATGAAACACAACCTTCCCATGTGGCGATAACAATATAACGTTGTCAAAAAGCTCGAAAAGAGGTGAAGAAGGCTGATGGGCAGTGAGGAACACGATTTTTCCTAAGGATGCGACAGTTTTCAATATTTTTACAACCGATACTGCGTTGAAGCTGTCTATTCCCGTAGTAGGCTCGTCACAGAATAAAATATACGGCTCTAGAAGTAGCTAAAAATATACAACATTTTAGCCAAATAAACTACCTACCTAACTATTTCAATACAAGTACCAAATACAGGTGTACCTATAGATTTTATCTGGGGCCTCTGGGGCTAAAGAATCGCCATACATCTAAACAGCCTCAACTCAAAAATTGTAGTAGATAAAGTTGAAGAACAGATATTGGGAGAAGTACTCTACAGAATGATGTCTACTTAGTGCGAATATGTTGAATTTGAATATTGTTATAGGATACAAAGATATCATTTAAACCCATATGTCGTACGTATTGATCGACCCCTGTATGACCAGTGACTGGGATTTTTGGCAATGGAATTCAACCTTGATGGAATAATCTAGCTGGCGAATTACCTATCGACTCCGGACTGACAGAAAAGCTTTTCGGTCTAAGGTGGAAGGGGAGGTCAAACGGTACGGAATTACACAGTTGCAATTGAATTAAAGACTGATAGACATATTCGTTTAATTTCCACGGATTACCTCAAGAAATTTTGCCAGATTTTGTACAAATTCCCCAACTTAGCGGAAACGTTAATTTAGTAACCTCGCATTCTGTGTCTATGACTTATAAAAATACAATACATAGGTACCTACGTCATTATACTTATCAGGAAAATATTCTTACATTGGACGCCAACGACAATTTCCTCTTTTCCCCGGTTGACAAAAATGTAATTTGAGTGCATTTACTATTCTCTAAACTAAAAGTTTTCAAAAGAGTTTGAACTTCTATTGAGCGTGCGTGATATGGTTTGTGTAAACACATTGCTGCCTTGAAAAACAAAAATATGAATAAAGTGAACATGTTGAAAAAACGTGTTGCTACCATAAAAGTGAGATGCTCCTGAACTGTCAACGTTTCTATAAATAAGTCTTTTTGTAGCAAAAACGTAGAATTATTACGTAGCATTTTTGCACTAACTATTCTACCATTAATTCTCAGAGTTCCATGACCTGAAAATAGTCTAGTTATTGCCAACGAGGGCCGATATTTTTAAACTGAAGCTACCCTTTCGTTGTCCTGAAAGTAAAGTCAGCAATGTAGTTTTTCCACATCCACTGAAATTCAATCTAAGTTAAATAAAGCCTAACAAGACCTGAAAACTCTACCTTGCTCCCAATATTGCTGTTACAGAACCAGAAGTCGCAAAGCCTGAAACTATTGGAAAAATTAAAATTCGCTTAACCAAAACTTTCTGATTCTGTTTTACCCCCATCTATAATATTCTTTCTTATTTTGCTTTGATTCCATAGTGTTCCTTGCTTTTCTTCTAGAGAATATTTGAGATTAGCCCAGGTGAAAATGAAATTTACCTAAAAATGATTAGCACCTAATTGAAAATGCAACCGAGACTTTTTTTGAAATAAATAAGCTGCTCACCATAATTTTAACTCTGTATAATTGAATGTTATACCTATCTATGATAAATATCTTTGTTATCTAGTATGTGATCTCAGACAACTAGTATCAAATAAAAACATGTAGGTATCTATAACACAGATAGATAAAACAATTTTAAATGCTTTTCCAAACAATGCTTGATAATTTTATAATTTCGTATTGTTAGAGTTTCCCAATTAGGATAATTATAAATGCTAGTGAGGTAGATTTGATTTTTGTGATTTTTTCATCTTGCCCTACTAAAACAATAAAGTCACAAAAACATTTCTTGACCAATTTGCGAATATTGAAAAAAGTGGATCATATAAAATAAAGTATTCTATTTAAAATCAAAATTTCCATCAGTCAATAGGTATTAACTTTAGTTTACTTAAATTTAATATTAAGTAATATCAATATGCACAGTAATAACAATAAAATAAAAAACCTAAATAGTGATCATGTAGGTACAATTGGCAAATAATTCTGCACATTAGGTGTAATGCACTAAATACGCGACATTACGGCATAATGAATTTAACGGGATTCCTGAAAATATAAGTAAAATAAATCAATAAATACCATTTGATGGTGAAATTGAATAAGTAGGTATGATGACTTTTGTAAAAATCCAAAAATAATTAAATGAGTACTTATATTTTTATTATGCATATATACATACACCACTAATCAATCCCAAACTTATTTTATTGTATAATAAAATATTTATCCGATTCCAATCCCAGACGTTCCTATTAAGATGTATTTCCGCCTATTGCTTCCTAATACCCCAGGGAAATTAGACTTCCTCTGCGGAATGAGGCCGAACAAGCTGAATTTTTGCAGAGACCTTCGTTTTGATGTTCTAATGAAGCACAACAAAATCGAATATGCCTACCCTTGCGCGTCTTGAGATATCGAAGGTCAAAGGTCACGAAAATCGTTTTTTTTTGCGAAAATCTAGCTTCCAGTGCATCTGACGTTGAAGAATTAAAAACAAAACTTACGTAAAATAGTTTTTTCTACAAAAATTGTTCATATACATCTTTTTATAAAACCAACCGTTTTCTAAATATAGCCTGATAAAGCGGGAGCGCGCATTCAAAATAGGTGATTCTGTATTATACAGGGTGTCCCCGTTCAACTGGTCAAAAATGCTAGGGTATATAGAGGAACCATAGAGAAGTAATTTGAGATAGGACACCGATGGTCGGAAGTGCGTCGTTTCCAAAATACAGGGTGTTGAAATTTAAATAACCCCCCTTCATATCATCTGAAAGGCTAATGCTAGGCGGTTCAAATTTCCAGGGATTATTGATGTAGGAATGATATTTAAAAATTCGTATAATGCACCCCCATTTTCTACCTGGAACCACCCCAAAAAAAAAAAATTAAACAAATTGCTTTTTTTTCGTGACCTTTGACATCTCAAGACGCACAAGGGTAGGCATATTCGATTTTTTTGTGCTTCATTAGAACATCAAAACGAAGGTCTCTGCAAAAATTCAGCTTGTTCGGCCTCATTCCGCAGATGGCCCTGTTTTTGGTCTAATTTCCCTGGGGTATAAGGATAATTGCGGAAGAGTCATGTCTAATTATGTGACCCAATAAATGGTGGACCCCAACAATGACCTTTTTTGAAAATAAAGGGTGGCGCAAAATGAACGTTATGATTTGAATGCTTTATAACTTTTTTATATTTAAGTGAATGTTAATATATAACACAGTTTATAAATGGAGAAATTTTTTGACTCAAATGTAAAAAATGACATCTCGCAAGTGTTTGCCATTTTCTGCTCCGTAAAGTCGTGCTCTTTCCGGACATGTTGCATGACTTTTTGCAAAATTTCAGGTGGTATGGCATGGATTTCATTACGTGGTCTTCTGGCACCACGGAGGTTCCTTACTGAACCTTGTTGCTGAAAATTTGCAACCAGACGATTTATTAATTGCACGGAGCACGGAGGGTCTAACACGCACATTAAAATACCGACGATATGAACGCTGCGTAAGAACAATTGAGTTTCCATTCGCAAAGTAAAATTTAATGATCTTTGTTCGTTGTTGTGTCGTGTATTGTTCCATTTTAAATTCCCCAAGTCTTCTTCACAAAATTCTGAAACGAAAGAGAAATAAAAAAATTTAATAAAAAAGTTATAAAACAATCAAATCATAACGTTCATTTTGCGCCACCCTGTACAATACGAAAAATCGACTCCCTACTCGACCATTTTGTTGATTATCCCTGACCCGAGCCCTGACCTAAAAGAAGCTTAACAAGTGACCAGAAGTGTCAAAATCAACCACACGAATACAATAACAACCCTTCTATAGTTATGAAATTATTAGACATTGTTTGCTAAAAAAAATCGAACATATATGCCTTATATTTTTGACCTTAAATGGGTGCTGAGCCCTCTAGGCGCGCTAAACAGGTTCTAGAACAGAACCTTTAGAAACTTCATAAGTGTATTTTATCGACTGCTCTAGAACCTGTGGTGAGCCCAAAGGGCTGGATCCCAAGTTAAGATCCTCATACGGTTCTGGAATATGTTAAGATATTAGATCTTAAATTGTTGCCAAGCTTCCGGCCTCGCCACAGGTCCTAAAACAGAACCTTTAGAAGCTCAGTTGTTGTATAAATTGATTGTTTTAGGACGGCATGTCTGTAGGGCTCGGCACTAAGTTGAGATGATTATAGGCGCAGAGAGTTTAAACGATGGTTGAGAAGTAAGCTCCTAAATTGGTGCCGAAATGCCAAAATGAAACCTTAACAACAAAATGTTATTTATGTAACTATACAAAGTTAAGCAATTTCACGAATAAACAATCCAGAAAATATCACAACGCTGGAGTTGAAAAAAATAAATTATGAAGTTCTACAAAAAACCATCAATGAAGCCACAACAATAAGATGAGTACAACCTCCTGCAGAATTAGCTTTTATAGCTAAAGTACATTAAATTATAGGTTTAAGTATTCGTCATAATAATACTAATTTTCTTGATATATTATTGTAAGAAAATTGAAAAATCATAAAAAGATTCTGAAAAAGCGCAAATTGAATTCTCATCTGAGCAAAATATTTAATTGGCATTGACAACATCACAAAGAGGGAGGACTTACATTATTCAATTTCTATATCACCAAATTACATATTAATAATCTAGTTGGTGTTTACGAGCACATACCTACCATAACTCCCTTTTTTATTCATTATGACATGAGTAAACAACAAATTGTTAATGATGTTTTTTATAAAATCAAAACTCATATACAACATTGAGCATTATGTACTTAAGAAATCAAAAGTAACAGTAAGCAGTGTCATTATACAAAAGAATAATAAAATGTTTAATATTATGTGTCTATATAGACCACCCAATACAAACAAACAACTTTTTTTGGAAGACTTGGAACAACTTTTAATAAATAACAAACTGCAAACTCAGTTCGATGTCCTTCTGGGCGATATAAATATAAATATCCTCGAAAAAAATGATAATACCGTAAATTCGTACCTTTCTTTGCTAAATCATTTTGGTTTCGTCTCTTATATTAACGCTCCAACTTGTGAAACTTTGGAAACAAGCTCTTGCTTGGATCATATTTTTGTGAGGAATAAACTAAATATTGAGAATCCAAAATGCCAATCATATATTCTACAATCTGATTTAACTGATCATTATCCTGTTATGATGAATTTGCATATAAATCAGTCAGACCAGTCAGACAGTGACAGCACAACTGAAAGAAAGGTTGTGACTAAAAAAATTACTAGAACCAACGAAAAAGATTTTGCCAATATATTAAAGTCACAAAATTGGAATAATGTATTACAAAAGAATGATGTAACAGAGGCAACTGATGAGTTCTACAAAATAATGACTGACATACTTGACAGAAGTACCAGTACAAAAGTACATATTATAATAAAACAACATGGCAAACATAAACCCTGGATAACGAACGGGATAATATCAAGTATTAAGATAAGGGACAAAATGAAAAAGAAACTTCTGATAAATGTTGATGAAATGAATAGCAGGATGTATAAGATCTATAGAAATAATCTCCAGAAAATAATCCAAATTGAAATTGGAATTAATATGTCAAATAAAATACAAAAACCAGTAAACGAACAAAAAATAAACTCAGATATTTTGCACTCTTTGTTTCTGAAGCCTGTCGATGCTAACGAAATAATAAAACATATAAGTCAAATAAAAAACGACAGTGCCCCTGGAATGGACAAAATCGATGCTAAACTTATAAAGAAAACTCATGAATATTTAACCAAACCCTTAGTACATATAATTAACTTGATTTTCAGTAGTGGTAGAGTTCCTGATCAATTTAAAATTTCAATTGTGACTCCAATTTTTAAATCAGGAGACAAGTCAAACATAAGTAACTATAGGCCCATTAGTGTAATAAATAATTTCTCAAAAATTTTTGAGAAATGTGTTAAAGACAGACTACTTAATTTTTTTCAAATAAACAATACCCTTTCAAAGAGACAGTCTGGATTTTTGAGTGGTTCTGGGACCTCTGATGCGCTCCATGAACTTACCAAACAAATAACAGAGAACTTGGATAGGAGTGAGAAGTGTATCGCAGTGTTTCTGGACCTGGCGAAGGCATTTGACACGGTGCCCCATAACCTGCTCCTAGACGTGCTGTTTGGATATGGTATTAGGGGCACCGTGCTGAGTGTCTTCGAGAGCTACCTGAGTCAAAGGAAACAGTATCTGAAGATCGGAGACACAATTAGTGATCCTTTAAGGGTTAAAATAGGAGTACCCCAAGGAACCGTTTTGGGTCCAATACTCTTTATCACATTCATAAACGCTTTGACGGACCTACTGATTGATAATGGCTCCCTGATTTCATACGCAGACGATACAGCAGCAGTATTCTCAGCTAAGACATGGCACAATGTAAAAGAAAAAACAATGGCTGGGCTATCCAAGGTAAAAGACTGGCTTGACAATTTTAAATTGACGCTTAACGTGCAAAAAACAAATTATATAGCATTCTCTCCTACTGAAGTCGATCGTCCTGATTTTACTTATATACGTATTGAAAATTTTGATGACAATATTAGAGAAACATCATACACAAAATATCTTGGCATTGTTATTGACAAACATTTGAAATGGGATCATCATGTTCTTTACCTTACAAATAATTTAAGGAAATTAATTCACAAATTTTATGTGCTAAGAGAAATTTTAAACAAACAACTTTTAACTTCAGTTTATAAAGCCATTGTTGAATCAATAATACGTTATGGTATAGTTGTGTGGGGTGGTCTATATCGGAATTCTCTAAAACAGTTAAACACTGTTCAGAACTATATTCTCAAAGTTATAAACAAGAAAGGTAGAAGATATTCAACTGCACAACTGTATACTCATGAAATATTGAATGTCAGGACATTATACATGTTAGAGATTTGTTCCTTTATCCATAAAAATGAAAACTTAAAAAATTATGTGAATCATATATATGAAACGCGAAACAGGGTGAACAAACACATCCAAATACCGATAAGCAAAAAAAATGTTAATCTTAGATTTGTCAATTATTTAGCACCCAAAATTTATAATATTATTCCCCTAGAAATAAAGACGATTGAAAAAAATAGTCTATTTCGAAAAAAATGTAGAATGTTTATTGTTGAAAATTTAGAACTGTTTAGAATATTTTTTTGAATATTGTATATTAGCATTTGAGGCATGTATCACTAGTTGGTAAACATTTGCTTGAAATTATCTAGTAGTTTTTATACGTTTTCACCGGCACATACAGATGTTAGGTCATCTAGATGCCGTTTTGAACAATTAAAAAATATGTATTATTTTAAAACCCATGTAAATTTTTATAAGTGAATAAATAAACATTATTATTATTATGTAATGTATACCTACATACAATGACATCATGTGAGATTGTTGTTTTGTTTTCATACATTTGTTGTAGCAATTAGTTCGGAGATATTTCCATTTTTCAATATACTATTTTGTCAACTTTGAATAAAATTCACTAAGGATGTTATAATTAATCTAAACAAATAAACCACAAAAAAAAATATTTTATTTCATTGAACAATTATTGTTTAACATTACAATGAAAGAAAGTAAATAGGATATTGAGCTAATAAACTTTTATCACAATTGCGTTATACATATAAATGAATGTATTTGTTTAACTTACTTATAAATCAGATATAATTTTCTTTGGGGTAGAATAAAAATATAGGTAGGCATGTAATTAAGATTTAAAACAGCAATTTTAACAATCTTTGAACAAAGAACAATAAAACTTTTATCTGCGTTCAGGCATTAAAATATATGTATACTTATGTCGTGTGGCGTTTTTTTTTTAAATTGACACAACACAAATAGTAAGTACAATGGTAAAATCAAACAATACATAAATATATATGGAAATATAAATGGAACAATAATTAGGCACTAAACAATAGATAATAATTTATATCATATAACGAGAACTTTCATCTGAAATACTATAGCGATTTAAAAACAAAATTGAACAAAAAAGGTTGGTATTTTTATACTTATTAAGATACCTAGGGTGATATGAGCCAAATACCTAAGGTACTTAGTTCATATTGCCTGTGACGTCTTCAACGTTTTATGTTTTACCAGTATTTTTATTTCTTATCGAATTTTAAATTCGGTATTTTATTCAATTGAAACCAAACAATAATTATCCTTTTCCATGTTAACCAAGTATAATCAAGTTGTCATTTCTAAAATTAATTCATGTTTTAATATTGTTACAATTCCCTGGGGCGTTGTAAAAAAATAACGTCCCGCAGGTTCATTATTTCTCTGGTAGTATGCCTGAAATTATTTTGATGAATATCAAATTAATAATAAACTGATACAACATAAAAATACTAAAGGAAAACATAACTTCTGCAGTCTAGCAAGCAGAATTTTGAACATATATACCTAATAACGATAAGTTTATTTTATACCAACAGAAATCGCTTGAAAGGATCTTTTTTTATTCAAATTTATGGGGGGGGGGGGGGGATTTACATGAAAGTCTTTGTTTTTTGAAGTTACAAAAAATTTGAATTACAGCTACTGAGCATGCGTAAATAAATGGCGGGGTGTGGGGTGAGAGTTTGAATGGGAGTATCGTTTTTACTTAAAAATGGGCGTATGTCAGGCAAAGCCGCGAGATACAGCTATTTAAATTATGAAGCATTACGTATTAGAGTGAGGATCCGCGTTTTTGCAACATAAATTTAAAGAAAAAAAACTATGAACCTCAGCACCCATACCTATTAAGGGGCCCACAGACTGCATTTTTGGTTGGACGGTTTTGTTCAACGAGAAAATCTGGCGAGCAAAAACGACGGATCTGAGTTGCACACAGACCTCGGTTTAGTTTGGCAATTATCCGCCATGTTGAAAAGTTTTTAAATTATTTTTTATTATTTTGATAATATAAAATTCTTTAGCTACGCACCACACAAAACCCCCGACAAAACCGTCGTTTTTAAAAATCGTCAGCCCACACACTTCACATTTGTTGACATATCGAACATCTCCGGCAGACAAAATCAGGCAAAGCCAGATATTTGCAACGGTTTTGTATGCCAGCAAAAACGAAAATTTTCGGCACACACATTTTGGTTTAGTGTCGTTTTTGCACGACCAGATTTACTCGTCGAACAAAACCGTCCAATAAAAACGCAGTATGTGGGCCCCTTTAGATATAATACCATTAATACCTACAGTTTTTCTTGATATATACAACTACATTAGTAGCAGTAGATTTGATTTTTAGGTGGGTAGGTACCTAATGCTCCAGTATTAAAAAGAATTTGGAGTATGTATGTATATCACTGTGAATTAAGTCATCAGGTTTATACTTATTCAAGGCATGTTTAATGTCTTCGTAGTAGCCGAGGTAGAAGCAATGCTGCTTATCAATGTACATACTTTTAGGTATAATTTCTAGGTAGTAGGTGTATATATTTTTTTGGAGACAGTCTACTCCTAATCTATTAAAAAAAAAAATGAAGAGAGATGTGACAATTTAAATGAATTGACAGAAAAAATTATTAGTGAATTGAACCTGAAGTAAATTGTAAACACCCAGTAGAAAAAAAAAGAACCACGATATGTAACTAGCCTGTGACTTAACAAGGATTTCTTTATTTGTAAGCACATAGAAGTAATCTCTTGGCAAAGAAACATGTGAACATTTAATCTCCTACATCACCATCTCGGTCGCCAATAACATATAAAAATTGGAAAGCAATTCCCAATAACATAGTACCAAGTAAATCACCCAAAGCTGTCAGATACGGTATAGCGGAATTATCAGGATCCACTCCAGTTTTCCACATGCTTAGTGTGAGTACCTGTGCTATGTACAGTAAAAAAAATACTTGCAGAAATGCTGCACTCAAATAAACTACCATGAAAGTAAAGGTGAGAGAAGTATGTCCAGCCTCTAAATAGCTGATTGTATATGAAAAAATTAGATGTCCAGGAATTACCATTAGCATAAGCATTTTTGCTGTACCTGTGTGGCTTGTTTTTTTATTATCACAGAAAGCCGCACAAGGGCTGATACATACTAACATATCACTTGGTAATTCACCTGGGCTTCCTTTACTATGAAGTTCTGTTGATATGCGACTGGCTTGCACTGCTACCAAATTACCCCCTACACCATTAATTACTAATTGAAAGACAGCCACGCCTTTATATTGAGACACTGTGAAATCCAGAATAAGACCACCGGCACTACTAATCACCATTGCAGATATGACAGGAGTCCAGCCACTGAAAAGTACTTCCCGAGTGTATTTGTTTCGACTAGCTACATATGCCCATAAAGGAACTAAACTTAGACCTAATATAATCAAACATGGTGCTAACCAAGGGTGACTATCAATGGTACGGTAAAACAGCGATGCAAAATAAGATAAGACCGCAAGTGTTGTAAGATCACCCAAACTTGCAGCAATTGGTGTGGCAACATTATCAGGATTTATGTTAAATTGTCTTGAAAATATAACTACCCCTATCATAACTACGCCTAAAACAAAACTGGCAGCTAAAGCTGTCACAATGCTGCTAGCACATAGCAGCAATGCATGTTGTATATTTAATTCACCACAGGGAATCCAACCAAGTATAACAGCAGCAATTGAAGCCAGAAACCCAACAACAATTGCTTGGCACAAAATTAAGGCAAGATTACCAGTAATAAGACTTAGTTTCTGGTTATGACTATCTAGATGGCCTAAATTAGCATGAGTGGATAACCGAGATGCTAAAGTCATTTCTAGATTTCCTTTAAGTCCAAGAAGGGCGGGTACAAGAATGTAGACTTCTGAAATATTTCTATATACTGGCCAGTGTTGGACTTTATCCAGGAGTAAACTTGCTGCTACCATTCCAAACCCAGCAAGCACGAAAGGTATGAACATTTGAATACCTGTTGCCCATAATGGTTCTTTTTTAATTACTATTACATCTTCCCTGTTGGTTTCATTGAGGAGGCTACAAGTATCAATGAAATATTCTTCACCATCCTCCTCCTAAAATTTAAAATCAGCTTAATAACAAGCTACTTAGATTTCGGAAATCGAAAAACTCACAATTACTCTTCCATCCTCACCCATCCTTGTAATTTCTAAGTTAACTAGTCTAGGTAAGTTTCTTCTTTTTACTGTGGAAGTCATAGTGATTATTTATAGGGGCTTTTTGCTGATTTAACATGTTGAAAATTGTTCTGAAAGATCCTCTGAAAACGCATGTACTTCTAGAACTGACATTTTTCCAATTTTTTTTAACACGTATGCGAAGTTTATCAAAAAAATAAAATCACTGTATAGTCAAAATTATTCAAATCTCAAAACAAACATGTTGTCAAACTCAGGCTTAAAGATTGGGGTTGGAATGGGCAAGGATCGGAATTCGATTGGAAGGAGCAATCGCCACTGACAGTTTTCATAGCGAATTCTATTGGCGAGAAAAGTGTCGCACTGGTGTAGATATACCTATATTAGGTGTGTTCGGAATGGTACAAAAGTTGTATTCCTTCCAAGAGTTTGAAATACTCGAGCTTCACGCTCCGGTGTTAGTCGAGTCGACCCCGATTTGAAAGGAAGAGATGCGTGGTGCAACAAACACTTTTCGAAAGGATAAGCGCGTAACGCCCCGGAGCTGTTCCGGTGCTTCTCCTAGGTGTGAAAGGTATGAAAGGAATACAACTATTCCTTTCACACCTAGGAGGAGTTCCGGTACAGGTCTCAGGGCGTTACGCGCTTATTCCTTTCGAAAAGTGTTTGTTGCACCTGAAGTACTCGAGTCCCAACTCAAACTATTTAATGCACGGAAGCCAGCGCATATCTTCCTTTCAAATCGGGGTCGACTAACACCGGAGCGAGTAGCTCTAGTGTTCTAAACTATTGAAAGGAATACAACTAAAGCCGCTTTCCAGCTGACCATTTTGAGCACGCAATCGAGCTTTTACGCGCGCAAATGCTTCAAGCGCGTGTTCGTGTTCCAGCCGTACTGCACTTCGAGAGCTGCTTACTTTTGCGTTTCAAACACAGAACACTGTGCTGCGCCGTGCTTGGAGCACAAACACATGTCAGCTGGAAAGCGGCTAAAAACAACTAATGTGTCGACACTAGTGAAGCGTTTTCTTGCGGGGCGAATGGTTCGAACTACGGTTTAAACCAATTTGTAGATGACGTCATCACTTGTGAACGCGAGAAAATGGAAGGTTTTAACCACAGTCTTATGTCAGCGGAGAACAAGCCATGAGTCCGGTTCGAAATTTTTTGAACCAGGTTCAATGTGACGTCATTGGTTCAACGCAAGAATGTACAGGTTCGAACCTAATTGAACCGGGTCGAACCAGTTCCACCGCGAGAAAACAGCTTAAGTCTGTTTCTGCAGAAATCACAAACCAGTCAGAGTGAAGTTCATTAGTTGAAACTAATTTTCTGACTGTTCCTGACTGTTTTCAACCAATGAAATTCGCTCTGACTGGTTTGTGATTTCTGCAGAAACAGACCTATTATTATTATATACAATCGCAGCCCTATGATCCGTGCGTTCGTTATTTTGGTCTGAGTTCTCCGAGCTTGACTTTACCGTTCGTTTATTTGAAAAGTGTACACGGTGCAGCCTCATTCGCGTTCGTTTATTAAAATTTCTGACACTTTTATACAGCGTTCAACTGCTCTGTTCGCTCGCTGGTCACGTGATTCCGGCTCCGCTCAGCATGCTCTGCTCTTTGAGCAAAATACCGAACGCAAGGGATGTATCATTTTCTGTTATTTTAACAGCAACGTCAAAATAGAGACAGAAATAGATGTTGAGCCTTAAGACAGACGTTGAAATAACAGGACATGATACATCATAGGCCTGAATGTTTGCCAGGGATAATGAGATACCAAAAATTCAAAATTTTATTATTGGAATTGACATAAAAATTATTTTCAACGCAGGTATCATTGGAATTATTTCTGCACATCTCGGCATAATTATGTACTTTACATACAGGAAAAACTTCCGTTTTCAACTTTTTCATAAACACAAACGTTTTTAATTTTTATTCCATTGAAAATATCTTTAGGTTAGGTTAGGGATCAGGGATCGTTAAATAATAAATTTGAAAAGAATGACCAAACGCGCCAAATTCATGTTCTTTTGGGATTGCACTAAACGTGAACTGATTCAGTGTTAAGTGCAGAACTCGGACAGCACGAGTTTTACCAACAGAAAACGCCATTAGAAATCTCATTGGAATTATACCTTTCGACACGACAAGGCCGGTATCGTTGGCGAGTCGTGTGTCGAATCGTGATTTTAGAATCTCGGCCCAGTACTCATAACTGCGAAATTCGCTCTTTTTTGACATTGCTTTGACAATTTGACGTTTGATTCACGCATAAAACGTCAAATTGTTGACACAATGTCAATAAAGAGCGAATTTCGCGGTTATGAGTACTAGGCTTATTCCATTCGAAAAGTGTTTGTTGCACCACGCATCTCTTCCTTTCAAATCAGGGTCGACTAACACCGGAGCGAGTAGCTTGAGTGTTCCAAACTCTTGAAAAAAATACAACTATTCCTTTCACACCTAGGACGAGCTCCGGAACAGCTCCGGGGCGTTACGCGCTCATTCCTTTCGAAAAGTGTTTGTTGCACCTGAAATGCTCAAGCCCGACTTGAACCATTTAAATTTTAAATGCACGAAAGCCACCGCATCTGTTGCTTTCAAATCGGGGTCGACTAACACCGGAGCGAGTAGCTCTAGTGTTTTAAGCTCTTGAAAGGAATACAACTAGTAGGAGTAAGTTTGGCGTCCACTTTATTCACGGATAATACACACTACTACTACTACAGGATAGCCTATCCTCATAAGGCCTGCGTAGAACAAATCTGAAGCCCCTTACCACGCCAAATCACCAGTTGTGACGTAGGCACCATGTCGTTTCTCGCCTTGACGTAGGCTGTTTGCACCACAGGTTATGATTCCGCATGCTTTTGCTTTATGCATGGGTACTTGGTTTTATTACATTAATTAACATTCTAGCTAAATTATTTTTCATAAGTTCACTACCACTTCCATTCAATTCGACGCCAATTTTTTCCCATATTTTGTCTTGTCTTTCTGATAATTTTATGGTCGGGATTTCCTAAATCATATAAAATTGGATGTGTTTTGGACCAATTCAATTAATTTTTCGGTAAACGACATTGCATGCGGTGCAATAATTTATCTTCCTATATGAATATTATGAGGCGGGATTGGCGGGAACAATGCGGCCGCGGGAAAACCGTGCATGCTGCGTTACGAAAATAGATCGCTGCAGTCCCGCGTTTGTAAGCGGGATAGGCGGACGCTTCAGTATGAATGCTCTCATATCCCGCCACATGTTTTAATCCCGCTGCGTTCCCGTTCCCGGTACCGCGTTGGTGTGTGGGATCCTTAATGGGGTTTAGGAAGGTGGTAAAAGTAGGTACAGTTCCGGGTAGCTCTACTAATGAGAAAAAAGTTGCCAATTAAAGGCTTATTAATTCATACAAATCGGATGTCTTTTTGGGGATGACCAGATATAAATAAACTTCTGTGATTCTGCGGAATTGTTTGGTTGTTAAGCTACGAACGCACTTTGCGAGGCAGCCTCGCGAGGCTGCCTCCCGAGGCGTGCTTCGCAAAATTAGTACCTGCCTCGACTCACTGTCTGCCGCGTTGAGGAGAGGAGAGGCAGCCTCGCGGTGAGTCATGCATAGTCGGTTTTTTGGTCGTGCTCAAAGAAGCCTCGTAGCGCGGCATTTCCCAAGTTTGTACGTGTTTGCTGATTATGAGCGACATCGTTGTTGCCTCAGAGCGAGTCAATGAATGACGGCTCGCGTTGCCTTGTGTTTAGCTTCTACTACCACTTCCAGGGTTGGATGGGCCGGTTGGGCCGCAGGCCCGACGCGTCTTAGATTAATAATAAAATTTTAAAATTTATATATTTGACAAAAACATCATGAAAACTATCTAAAACAATACTAAGGCTGTGGTCCGAATATAACCAGGGTTGTGGTTTCGCGGTCTGAAAGCGATCAAATTACTCTGGTACCTTGAAAAGTGGTTATTTTGGACCTTGGTTTCCTGAAATCTGGTTAACCAAATGTCAAAATAGTTACCTACCATCGGATGTTGGTTCTGTTGGTTTTATCTGTAAATTCTTTCAACAATTTTTTATTTCATATTCGTGCTCCTTAGGTAACCGGAATTTTCAGTAACCATCTGTCAACCGGATCGGTTACTTTGGTTAACATTTGGTTATATTCGGACCATAGCCTTAAACTGAATATTATGCGTGAGGTCCGAAACCACTGGTGACGGTTTAATTGAGAATGCAGTGTTGCCAATCTAAATTTGTGAAATTACACGATATGCTGGTCGTATACCCGCCCTAAGGGTGGGTATTATAAAACTGCTTTGACAGTTAACTTGAAGTTAACTTTTTGAATTACACGTATTTTCAGAAGTTAACTTTAAGTTAACTCTCAAAGTAGTTTTATAATACCCGCCCTAAGCACCGAAGCGGGTATTATAAGGGCGGGTATTATAAAACTGCTTTGACAGTTAACTTGAAGTTAACTTTTTGAATTACATGTAATTCAAGAAGTTAACTTTAAGTTAACTCTCAAAGTAGTTTTATAATACCCGCCCTAAAACTGCTTTGACAGTTAACTTGAAGTTAACTTTTTAAATTACATGTAATTTCAGAAGTTAACTTTAAGTTAACTCTCAAAGTAGTTTTATAATACCCGCCCTTATAATACCAGGGCTGCGTTCAGGAATAGCTACAGCCAAGCCAAAATTGGCATTTTGCGTTCGAGTTCGTCTCCGACCTACGTGGTTCGGCATTACCGGTGGAGGGAGAAAAGTAGGTTTTGGCATTAGCATTGCCGTCTTTGAACGTACCCCAGGGCTGCGTTCAGGAATGGCTACAGCCAAGCCAAAATTGGCATTTTGCGTTCAAGTTTGGCTCCACCCTACGTGGTTCGGCATTACCAGTGGAGGGGGAAAAGTAGGTTTTGGCATTAGCATTGCCGTCTTTGAACGCACCCCCGCCCTTAATGTTTTTTGGATGTCCCACAATAAATACTGTTTTCATTAGCCGGTTTCCAGTATGCACATTGGGGCGCTCTGGCGCGCTCTAGAGCACCTCAGGGGCGCCACGCACTAAATTTGTACCGTTCCAGTATCATGGCGTGAGACGCCTGTCTTAGTGTCAAATATGTCAAATTTTAAAAATAATTATCTTTTTGTTTGTGCAGTTTGTTTTTTTATTTATCAAAAATGAAAGAGAATCAAAACTATATTTTTTAAAATGTTCAATCTTGCGATATAACAAGAAAAGGCGATTTTCAGCCTGGAATGATTATTTATCGGTAAATACCGTGGTTATTCTTTTGGTTGACAACTTTGACAGCCAACTGTGACGCCATAGCCCCCCACCATTCAAGAATCATAACCCAAGGAACTGACCGCTGAAATGATTTGGTTATAGCAGTGTAGGATTATCTTTATTATTCTTATTTGTTTTTTCGTTTCAACAATAGTTTTTTGTTTAGGTACAGAAAATGGAGCTGAATCTCTCGTTAGTCTCGTTTATCGAACAGATTTTCTTTGGGGATAATCTAAACCTCGATCTAAACATGGTGAATTGCAGTGAGTGAGTGAATGTTTACTTCTTTCATTGTGCCAGGCTACAACGCAACTGCAAAATCACAAAACACCAATGCAAATTTCAAAAATAATAACAATAACATCAAAAAGCTGTAACCAAAAGATTAACCGAAGTCCAAAGCTGGGTTATAATCGGTTATAAGTGGTAAATACCAAAAGCAAATCAGCTGATATGTGACGTCACAACTTCCCCTACTTTGGTTAAAACCGCAACGGCGGAAATGCATTGGTTATAACCAAATAATAATCATTCCAGGCTGAAAATCGCCTAAATAAATAGATAAATAGCCACCCACGGAAGTGACAGCTGACAGGTTGACGCGTACGTACAGCTCGAGAGCTCAACGCCCCGAGTAGCTCCAGGCGTCACACTCCCATACTGGAAAGCGGCTCTTTTATACATCGAGTTACACCGAACGAGCTCCTCGGAGTCACTCCAAAACACACAATTCAGATTTTATCATTATTTTTTAATATTTACATTACCGTCATTACCTAAAAGGAGTTCTTGCTCCCCCCGCAAATTTGGAGCATCAGGGGAAAGGGGGATCGACTATACTATGAGCGACTCGACTGCTTAACGCACTTTTAAAAGGAACGTTCAAGCTTTTGACATTGAGCAGCTCCGAGTAACTCAATAGGTAAAAGGAATACAGTAAAATGCATATGTTGTTTGATCTTCTGGATCATCGATCGATAAATTAATTATTTTTTTTTGAAATTTATAAACTTTACAAAATTTTTCATATTTATCAACTGAAGGACTAGGGATAAGATAAAAGTGGCAACCGACTAACCGAGCCAAGAAACAGGAGGCAGGGAAAATCCAGCTTGAACACCTTCGGTGGAACAGTGACGTCACCACTATTAGCAGCATAGCAGCATATAGTAGTGACGCCACCCGCAGGCCTCGATGGGATGCTTGCGGTTCATGTTGTACCTGTTTTTTCGTCGATATTGAATGTAGAAAAAGGAATTTTAACAAGATTTTAACGTTTAGCAATTAATTGATCAAATAGTAGCTCCTAGCAGATCTTTCTGATTTTTTGAGCAGATAGAGCAAGTACAAATGAAAACCCTTTTTATGACCTTAGGATATTTTCACTTTTCCCTTGTCATTTGTCAAGCAGGCAACTTTCAGTACAATTTGAATTGAATTGGATTTGTATTGGAATATTTGGGGAATTGGTTTCAAATCTAATTGTGTACTTGTGAATCAAGTTTAGTGCCTTCAAAACAACGCCTATAAAGGGGAGAGAACGGTAAGAACGAAGAACCATAAATATGTGTATCCTATGACAATGTTAAATAATTTGATAGTGAGCGAAGAAGAAAAGATAGTCATTTACAATCTCCTGGTTCTTCTTTTCTTTTCCCATTGGAGAAAACTTCTGGAGATTCAGGCAAATTCCAAGATAAAATCCACAAGACCTTCAAAATAATATTTGTTGTGATGAAATAAAAGTTAGGTTAAAGCCAGAAGTTATGGATCCTAGGGACGTTCCTGACCCCTACAGAGAATTAAGCTCAAATGAGAATTATTTTGAAGCGCTAGATCTAAGAAGACTTGAAAGTGAATATCTTTTAAATCAAGAGCAAGCACATCCCTATGGAAGTTCATATCCGAGTCAGTTTAGAATTGCATACCCCAGTCAGTATACAAGCCCATACCCCAGTCAGTATCCAAGCCCCCTGGCATCTGAAAGCCCTGAACCTCGCCCTGAAGGTAAGCTTTTGGTTGTTATATCGATAACTGTAGGTTTAATTGCATACTTTGTTTTAGATTTAACAGTGAAACGTTATATTGGCTCTGGAGTTGCCTTTGTAAGTCTTATAACAGAAAATTTGTTGAGCCACCCATTTTTAGTACTGAGGAGACAATGCCAGGTAATCATTAATAGTTACATTTTTTTGAAATCTTGCCTCATTTGTAGGGTTTCCATACGTCCGGGTTTGCCCGGACATGTTTGGGTATTTAGGGTGTCCAGGGGAGTTCGGCCGGAATTCGGAACAATGTCCGGAAAACTTGGAGATCGTGAAACATTCATACTCACTCAGTTTACCCACTATTTAAAAGACGTAAAATTTTACTTCACACATTAGTACGTAAAGTAATTCACTTTACACACTAGCACACTAGTGCATGAAGTAATGTCAATGACAAATGTTGAGAGTTGAAAATTTTTTGTATATGCAATATGTGTGTAAAGTGAACGTTTTTTTTATGAATGTGAATTTTGTCCCACTGGTCTTTCACTTTACACACTTGTTGCATAAATAGCTATTTCGGCGAAGTCTGGATTTTGTCCGGATGTCTTGACTGCTTTGTCCTGAATTTCGAAAAATCTTTATGGAAACCCTACTCATTAGGTTATTTGAAATTTTCATGATGCAAGGTAGGAAAAAACAAATTGATTTTACCATTTTCACCAGAAAACATTTTGTTTACAAAAAATTAATTCCCATACCTGTTTCTTACCCAAAATTGTTCAACTATTTTCATTTGTATCCAATAGTAATAATAATAAAAATAATTTATTCAGCAATTCAATATTCATAACAATAACATTATAGTATGATTCAGAGTGAATACTAATATTATAATTTTTTTTATTTATTTCGTTTATTTAGCAATAACTTATCATGCAGCTTACATAATATATAAAATCACAAAAGTTATAATGAGTCTGTAGTGTCAATTAAAATAATAACAATTCAAAAACAACAAACAATTTAAAAGAATGTATAATCAAATAATTTCTCATTGTAGCACCTAGGCATGTTATGAGTATGCCTGCATGTGTCATATTTGATGATGTATGTATCTATGTATGTGTTGGAGGTATAGTATAAATCCTTTATTTAGTCAAGACTAATTTACAGTTATACAGTGACAGTTATCAATTGAAATTCTACTAAAGCTAATTTATAATTTAATTAAAAAACAATTCTCATATAATAATTTAAAATCTACAGTCAATAACACAATGATAAAAAATTATTAAAAAAACGTACACTGATACAATACAAGTTACACATACTACTTATAAGTTAACATCACTTAACATATAATCTTTGAGAACTTTTTTAAAAGAATTCACTGTTTTCATAGACTTAACATTATTTGGCAGATCATTATACCTACTCAAGCCCTTAAAATATAATGAGTTTTGCGACCTTTCCTGATCTACCCTTGGGATATAAAATTTTTCTCTGTGGCGCGTATGATATTGATGCACTTCAGAAGCATACATAATTTTGCCTAACAAATATTGCGGAGCTTGACCAATTTTTATTTTATGAATGAATGTTAGGGTGTTAAACAGAAGAAGCTCCCGCACTGGCAGCCATTGAAGTTCTTTTAACATATCCTTTATTGGTGTTAACCTTGGTTTTTTGAGTATCACCCTCATACTCCTATTTTGCAATTTCTGCAATCTTGAGAGTTCATTTTGTTTAAAGAGAAACAAAATACTAGAACAATAATGGAAATGTGGAAGTATTAATACATTAAATATAGTTTTTTTAGTCCAAGTAGACAAGTATGGAGAGCAGCGAGATAAATAATTTACTTTAAAAGCGATTTTTTTAATTATTTCTAATGCATGACTTTTAAAATCCAGTTTATGGTCAATCCAAATTCCTAAGTATTTAATTTTTGTTACCATTTCAATAGTGTCGCTGCCCAACAATAATTTGCAGTCCATAGCCAATAGCTGTTTGTAAATGGATTCCCTTGCAATAATCATATACTTTGTTTTAGAAATATTGACCTTCAAATCATTAACATTACACCACTGATACACATCATCCAATATTTGATTAAGTGATGTTTCAAGTTGGCCCAGATCTTTTGTGGAATAATAGAATAAGGCATCGTCAGCAAAAATATATGTGGTACAGTTTTTTACGTTTTTAATTATGTCATTAATATATAATAAATAGCAAAGGTCCCAGCACGCTCCCCTGAGGGACGCCAAAATCATTAGATATATCTTCTGATAATATGTCATTGACTTTTAGTCTTTGTTTACGGTCACTCAAGTAGCTCACAAACCATTTTAAAACTACTCCCCTAATACCAATGCTTTTTAGCTTTAATATTAACCTTGTCCTGTTTACAGTTTCAAATGCCCTTCGTAAGTCAAGAAAAATGGCACCAGTTGCTAAGTTTTTGTCAATATTTTGCCTCCAGTCTTCCAAGATACCCTGCACAGCAGTTTCGCAACTAAATTTTACTCGAAATCCTGATTGAAAATCACTTAGTATTTTATTCCGATCTATATACTCTCAACAACTCAACAAGTTGCATATACACCATTTTTTCTAAAATTTTTTCAATAGTGCAAAGTAAATTTATTGGACGCAATTCATTGGCAGATTTCAATTTAATTACTTTGGGGATCGGGATTATTCTAACATATCTGGAACTTGACCTATTTCTAGCGAAGAATTAACTAAATTTAAAAGTGGATTCTTTATATTCTCAAAAGTATTTTTGAGTAAATTGATGTTAATATCATCCGGACTTGATTTATTAGCCATTCCAAAAATAATATCTTTCAACCCTTCAAAATCCAACATACTAAAATCTGAAAAATTAACCAAATCGTCATGGTGAGCCAATGGAAAATCTCCAAGATCAGACTTATCTATATCCCGAAGTATATCTTTAATACTATCGACAAAAAAAATATTCAGTTTATTAGGTAACTCCTCTTTATCACTAACTAAGGTATTATTTATTTCCACCTCATCAATTTTAGCCACTGTTTTTTTTTGAAGGTAATAAAGTTTCCAAAGTTTTCCACATTTCTGTGGGATTATTTTTATTTTGACATATTTTTTCTTCATAGAACTTACGTTTCTCTTCTCTAAACACTTGAACTGCAAAATTTCTTTTTCGCTTATATTCATTTAAGTTTTCATCTGTTTTATTATTTTTATAAGTCCTATAACTAAAATCACGTTCTCGCATCGCCATCTCAACCCTATTGTTCCACCATTTTTTATATTTAGGAAAAATTTTAACCGTTTTTATTGGAGCAACTAAATTTAAAATTTCCAGAACAGTTGACACAAAACTGCTAAACTTATGATTTATGTCAGAATGATAGTACCTGAACTCAAAATTGCGCAACATTTGGTTGATACTCAAAAAATCAATATTTCCACCTCTAGTATCAATAGTCTTAGCCACTTTAGGACTCACATTGTGTAATATTTCAATCATGTAATGATCAATAATTTTTGGGGTAATAATAACATTAGCTTTAAACAACTTATCAGAGTTCGTTAGCACCAAATCTATGATTGAGTCTTTATCTCTACCAGAGCGAGTTGTAGCAAAAACAATGTTTTTAAGACCTATATCTGCAAGAATTTCTTTTAAAGCTTTTGACTCATCCGTTTTGTAATCGATGTTAAAGTCTCCTACAACTAAAATGACACAATTTTCATCAATCAAATTTTCTTCGCACCATGCTTGAAAAAAAAGCTCAAAATCCCGTTTAGATGAACTTGGAGATCTCTACAGAGGTACCAAAAGATATTTTTTCTTATTGTAAAAGATGTATGTGTAAACCAACCAATAATTTTTATGTTTAAATGTCTGTTGTGATTTTAAAACTTTAACATCATCTCTAATAATAATAATAATAATAATAACTTCGTTTATTTAGCATCAGTGCTATACAATTAACAACATTAAATCATTATATATAAATTAATAAATTATCACAATTTCCCATTTCTTAGCCTAACTTATACTTTAACAAAATTCCGAATTTAGCTATAATTTTGCTTAACAAAAATACTTAAATTTCTTTTAAATTCATTCAAACGTTTCATTTCTTTTATATGTAATGGTAATCCATTGTACATAGTAAGACCCCTGTAAAACAATGATTTCTGAGTTAATGCCTTTTTTGCAGTTGGAATGAATATATTACGCGATGTTCTGGTATTGTACAGATGTACATCATTGACAAATATAATTCTACTTACCATGTAATCAGGTAACAATCTGTTTACAATTTTATAAATAAATAATAAATTATTGAAAACTAATCTTTGATTTACACTCATAAAACAGAGTATATGTATAAAATCGCCCCACCTGTACTTCTACTATTACTATCTACTCTCTCCAAGCTATAACCATCAATATGAATCTCCCCATCCAGAATTTTTTCTGTTAAGCAAGTTTCAGACAATGCTATAACTACTGGTGATCTACTTAAAGCTAGCTGATAAATCTCATCAAAGTGAGCCGTTAAACTAGATGAGTTAAGGTACAATGTAAAAATCTTATCACGCTTGTTTATGTTTCTGGAATTTCTATCAAAACTTGATCTAAAAAACTGTCAGTAGATACTAACAATTGATCTTTTACCTCAGCCCCCGTGATCACATTTTGACTACTTTCGTTAATTCCGCTATTATTAACAAAAGTTTGTGTATTAACATAAATAAGATTAGCATTCCTTTTACTTACAGCAAACACGGTGTTGCTTATAAGATTTGCAATTTCCACCTTACTTTTTCTGAAACCATTCCAATCATTGAGATCACAAAACATTGTTTTTCCCTCACTATAAAAGTTCAATCGATCTGCATATTCATAAAGCTTTTTACTAAACATTTGCACCCTTTCATCAAGGCCATTTTTTCTATAATTCATGTCAGGAATTGAAGTTAAAACAATGTTAGTGTGAGTGCAGTATTTAAGTTTTTTATTTATATCTCTAAAAGATGGAAATTGCAATCTATCAATATCATTAGAACCAGCCATTATCAAAACATAGTCATCCAAGGTAAAATCTTTTACTAATTCAACAATGTCTTTTGTAACCATTTCAAAAGATGCGCCTGGTTTAATTATTGTT